ATGAAAATGAGAAGTGCTCATCATTATTTAATTGTTGAAACAAATCTTGTTTTAATCAGAAATAATATATTTATAGATAACAATATATTTTCTACTATGAACAAATTGTTAAAGGAATATTAAAACTTTTAAAAAAATTACTTCAGGAAAAATATTTTATTAATTAAAAAATTCTACCTAACAATATTTTATCTTATTTCTAAAAGTAATATAATTATTTTGGGTGCAAGTAGTAAGTAGATTTGATAGTATTAAAAAGACAAATTTCTATTTAATTTCAATTTCAGAAAATTAATTTATAAAAATCTGTATTTATATACACATTTAGTTTATTTACACATATAACATATTATTTTTTTTATATATGTATGTTTTTTGTGTACGCAGTTAATTTCATGAAAAGGAAAATTTAAATTTAAAATGCTTTCCGACAATGGTACCAATTGTAAAAGCAGAAGAAAGAAATATTTCAAACAGCGTAAACATGGCCTCGCGGTACGATCACGGTGTTCAGCGAATTTTAGCAAAATTAGAAGCGTCTATAAATTCAGAAAATTTTTATGAGGCTCATCAAATGTATAAAACTTTATATTCTAGGTGAGCTAATAATATAATTAGTCGACATCATCAAAGAACTCTTTTAGTGCAATCGTCGATATGATTGCTTAACCTCTTCTTCCAGATATCTTGGACAGAAAAAGTATTCGGAACTTTTGAATTTACTATATGAAGGATCTACAATTTTGTTACAACATGAACAAGTATGTAATGTAATTTATCGCGTTTCTTTTTTATAAATGTTATAGGTATTTTTCCAAAGCAAATACTTTTCAAATGAATATTATCTTCATTATCAAGTGCTTCTTACAAATTTTATTCTCGAACGATCTATATTTAAATTTTACTATCTGTCGTCATTAAACGTAGTATACTTTATTCTTCATATTGTTACAGAAACATTATAAAATAGTTTATTTTTTTAGTAACTGTATAAATCTAGAATATTCTAGAGACTATTATACTAAATCGTTCACTCGCATTTTTATTTATACATATGTATAGTATATATGTATATATATGTGTATATATATCTAATGTCAACACAGTATTTACATAGCATTTTACAATAAAATAAATTATATATGACACATATATTCTATGATAATATATGAAATAAAATATCTAATACAAGAAATCATTATCCATTGCAGTATGCCAGTGGAGCAGATTTAGGAATTTTATTTGTAGATGTTTTAATACGATCAGAAACGATACCTTTTGAACATTATTTTAAAAAAATTACTAATTTATTCCGTTTGATGAGCCCTTCATTGCCTGAAAGAGATACATTTGTACAATCTGCTCTTCGATGGAGCACAAGGAGTACAGAATATAAGACAGGTCATCCTGATTTACATCAAAAACTAGCACAAGTATTTTGGAAAGGTAATTAATGAGAAAGGAATATCAGTAATATTTTATTATTAAAAATTAATTATAACGTATTTTAGAAAAAAACTATATAATGGCAAGACAACATTTTATACATAGTAAAGATGGAACAGGATGTGCAGCAATGCTTGTGGAATATCATCAACAACGTGGTTACACGAATGAAATAGATCTTTTTATTGCTCAGGCTGTCTTGCAGTAAGCATATGTGCTATTCCTTTTATACGGACAAAATTTATAATTATATGATAATTCTATGAATTGTATGCTCATATAACGTTATAATTATTTTTTCAGATATTTGTGCTTACAAAACAAAGTAACCGCACAGGAAGTTTTTAATTCTTATACTTCGCGACATCCGAAACTAAATTGTGGTCCACCATACCCCCTTCCATTATTAAATTTTTTATTTTTTTTATTAAAAACAATTGATAGGTAAGTGCAAAATAGGAGTTACTAATTTGTGTACTTCATGTACTTATAATTAAACTTTTTCAGTGGTAAACGTACTGTATTCACAGTACTTTGTCAACAGTATCAGACATCTATAGATAGAGATCCATGTTATCCACACTACTTAGATAAAATAGGGCAGTTGTTTTTTGATATCCCATCTCCACGCCCATGCAATGAAGGACTACTTGGTTCTATTTTACAATTATTTGTTAACAATCTAGAAGATGAAGACTCGGATGATGAACAGAGAAATAAAGCTTCAACTTCACATGCAATACAAGAACTCGACTGATCAAAAGTTAGACGTCACTGTGCAATGTGATGAAAGTAAATAATAAACTTAAATACATATATTCGTATATATATAGACATACAGATATATGTGTATATATATATATGTATCTATATATACATATGTACGTACATATATATTAATGTCTCACATATTTTCAAAAAATGGTTTATATTATGCTGTCAAATTTTCAAAAGAATGCTGCATTGAAGTAAACTTTTTTAAATAACTTGTATAGATAAAAATTATTTAATCTAAAAATATGTGAGATGTATTACAAGAGGAATTTTTCAAAGTTGTAAGTTTTGCATTCTGAGTAGTTTTTAAATATTCATAGAAAAATGTATTTGAGAAAGATAATGATTTGTCTGCATCTCTTTTCTCCCATTTTTAAGATCTATTTTGATATTATATTTGAAAAGATATATTTAACATCATTAACCTAAAAGTTAAAAATTTATTAATTATACGTGCAACTGAACTTAGACATTGAAAAAAATCCTTAGATTAATTACAATTCGTACATAACAAACATATTTAAAAACAAATTGTGTTTAAGCGTACTTCCTAAGATGGAGATTTATTTTATATATACCTAAACGTGTGAAAAATAAACATGACATGCATATTTAGTTTCAAAACAAGATTGCTTAATAATATATTATTTGTTACTACATCATGAAATAAGCAAAGTAAATTGAACAGTAATAAATATCACAGTAACAAGTAAAAAATTTATTTATTAAATACTATACTAATATAAACACGTATGTTTCAAGTTTCAGTAAAAATGATATATTTAGTTAATACAAGGAAATTAATGGTCATGATTCTATAATAAAGCACTTTTTAGTACTAAGAAGTATGATATACTATTATTGTGTATTGGATGAAGAGAATACAGAAAAGAACATTACAAAATTGTAAACTTGCAATAAATATATACATATACTAATGTATATTCTATATGCGTTTATGTATATTCTTATACAGATGCATAAGAGTGCACAGAATATTCTTTCATCATAAATATAAAAGCTTATTTTTTCATAATTTATAAATGCAAAAGATATTGTACAAGTATGCGATGCACTAATTATTATAAAAATTTGTGCACGTTAATTTTATGCTGAACATGAACATGTGGTTTCTCTTCTGAGTTTAAACAGATGATATGTAATTGTTTAATTTTCCATATTATTGCATAGTATTTCAAAAGTAAAAATTTATTAAATTCATATGGCACAAACACTAACGTTTACAGTTACATGATTATTTTTAATTATAAATGAAATTCAGAAGTAAAGTATTAAAATATTAAGTACAGTGGGATCCCTGTATAGACTCGCGCTACAAAGTCCAAATAGATTTACAAATTACTATCTTATTAATTGAGATAGTCCCAAGGATCACCATAATTAATAATTTTTTGAAATATTATGTCACTTTTTACCATTTCCGACGGCGTGGCTTAGTAGCTAAGTCTTTTAAATGTACCCTCGTAAAGGTTTAGAAATAATGCAGTGGCGTGAACCTTTACAAAAGTCTTACTGTATATAAAATATTGAATTTAATAATGAAAATGAACTTCACATACCTATATGTACTAAATGTATTTTATTTTATTTCAAAATTTATTCAAACAAAATAATTATAGGATATTGAATGTAGTACTCAAAAGGAAGGAAAAATTAATTAATATAACTTCAAAAATAATTTTTTAGTATTAAATGTGAGTTTTTGTTTCCAAAGAGGAATATAAATTATTTACAAGAACTTATCTTGCTACAAGAATATATGTAAATAATTAGATTCTTTGTTACTTTCACAAAATACTTACTAGCGGAACATCACACTGTACATAGAAGGATGTGACCTTTCTTTTATGTCTATTATACATTTCTAGTAATTCAGAATTTTTCATTAACACCTATATAAGTGAGTACATTACACTGTTCTGAGATTGAAGTATTTAATTAAAAAAAGTAAAACTAATCATTCGGGACAAACATGAAAATTTAGTTAGTTATCATGTTCCTGATTAAAATCTAATGAACATAAAAACGCAAGATCTTATTCTTTATAAATTAAGTGTAAACATTTTTTCATTGTGAAAGTTACATTATTAGTATCAATATGTGACTCTAATTTCATTGAAATTTTAATGAAATATTAATTGCAAAGTAAAAATATGCAGTTTTACAATAAAAATCTATGGAAAGTTAATAATACGCATGATTGTATTAATAAAATAATTCAATTTAACCAAATTTTTACTTGAAAAAGGTAAGCAACAAATTCCAATAAAGATATTTATATTGACGATTGATGCAGATCATTTCCATTTTACAAGAAAAAGTAAAATGAAGAATGAAACAATAAACAATTAGAAATCCTTTCTACATGTATAATTGTAGGAATGAGATAGTAAACATAAAGTATTTATATCTGTATAAACAAAGTTATATGAAAAGATTTTTTAATCTTTTGTTAATAGTAATTTGTACAAATAAACATAAAAAGTTGAGACATTTGTATAAGATACACCTACATACAGTTGCAATAATATATGTATATGTTACTACAAAACCTAAAAAAAGGGATATAAAATCTAATATACTACATGAACAGTGCAATATTGTAATTCATATAATCTAATATTTTAAAAATGTAATTAATCATTTTGTTGTATTCAGTTTCCTAATGTACTCGTAACAAATGGCTTTTTTTAAGTAATTTATATTTGTAAAATATTGTGTCTATAAATACATATTTAACATTAAATTTAATAATGTATCTGTAATCCTTGTCAAATAATTAAGTATTGAACAAATATATTGTCACTGGTAGTTCTTTCTACAAAACTACTTAAAAATAAATTCATAAAAAAAGATTATGTAAACACAAAATATATAATAATGGATTTATTATGATATTAGATTAATATAAAAATTAGTATAAAAAATAAACGATGTCATGTGATTAATATGTTTCATGGCCTGGTATGGGAAATTGACTGCAGAATGTTTCTACTTTTTTCTTTAAAGTTGCAACTTTTTGTTTTGTAGATTCATCAGTGCTCAGTACTTTTTTAAAGTCAACAAGTTTAGGTCCAGAAATCTTTGTTACTTCCTTGGCAAGTAATAAAGCTACAACATTAAAAATAACAATAACACATTTCTACTATTGTTTATATTATAATTGTTTACTTTAATATTGATATACCTTCGTGTATAAAATCAACAACTTTATCAATATCTTCTTCGACCAAACCACGAGTAGTTATTGCTGGAGTGCCTAATCTAATACCACTACAATTCACCGCACTTTTATCACCGGGTACAGTATTTTTATTGCAGGCAATAGAAACATCTTCTAAAATTTTTTCTGCTTTCGCTCCTGTAAGACCTACAGGTCGTAAATTTACTAGTAACATATGTACATCTGTACCATCTGTACTAATTTTGTAACCATATTTTTGAAGTCCAGAACAGAGTCTCTTTGCATTAGCTACAATTTGTTTTTGGTATTGAAGGAATTCTGGAGTTTTAACTTGCTTCATTGCTGTTGCAATGCCTGCAATTGCATGGTTGTGTGGACCGCCTTGTAATGAAGGAAATACTGCATTATTAATCTTATCCTCAAAATCATACATAACTTTTTCTCCTTTCTCTATACTTTTAACTCCTTTACGGTAGAAAATTACACCAGCCCGAGGTCCTCTGAAAATTAAGATATTTAATAACAATTACATTTACCAGATTCGATGGACATTCAATTGAAATTAAACAAATTACCTTAAAGTTTTATGAGTAGTAGTTGATACAATATCGCTATATTCAAATGGACTGGGAATTACTTGAGCAGCAACTAAACCTGATATATGAGCCATATCACTAAATAAATAAGCATTATTTTCATTTGCTATTTCCCTGAAACGCTTGTAATCTAAACATCGACTATAACAGGATACACCAGCTATTATAACTTTTGGCTTAAATAATCTCGCGTTTTCAGCTAACTTTTCATAATCAATTAGACCAGTTTGAGGGTCCACTTTATACGGCATTGATTCAAAAAATATTGATGTTGCAGAAACTTTTTTAACTACATTAAAGAAACCTAAAAGATACAAAAGGAAACTTGTCAAATTTATAGCAGACCATAAGAATATATAAAAATTTTTGATAAATTAATATAAAATCTTGATATTACCATGAGTAAGATGACCTCCATCAGGAAGATCTAAACCCATTATACGATCATGGGGCTGCATTAAACCAGTATAAACAGCAAAGTTAGCTGGACTTCCTGAATATGGTTGTACATTACATCCCCATTCCTCTGGATTTAAGTTAAATGCTTCTAAAGCACGTTTTTGTGCTAACAATTCAATTTCATCAATATATTCATTTCCTCCATAATACCTAAAAAATACAAGCGCATATAAAAATATAGAAAATGTATTCACAATTTTAAAAAAATAATAAAACAAAAATATACCTATGTCCAGGTAGACCTTCGCTGTATTTATTATGAAGACATGAACTTAAGCATTGCAATACACTAAGGGATGTAAAATTTTCACTAGCAATCAATTCAAGACTACATGTTTGTCTTTTTTTCTCTTTCTCCATCAATTCAAAAAGTTCTGGGTCTGTTTCCCAAACATTTTTATGGATTACACTAGTCATGTTCTATATTAAAAATAATAATTTTTAAACTTACATAAAACAGTTACTTTGTATGGAAAAGATTACAAATAAATGTACTCAAACATCAATTATTTATTTTAACAATGCATCTTGTATTTTCATATTGCTTCTTTTTTAAAAGAATCTTACAATCTACTCATTTATTTCATGAAGTTCAAAGGATATTAACTGGTACCCTATTGTACACTGTATTAATACAATTAGGTTTTATTTATTGAAGGATACTTATATTATATCTAAAGCACGAATGAAAAGCAATTATATAAAATCTAATCCTATTATTTCATTTGTTTTAATTAATAATTTTTTAAATTTAATTTAACGAAATTATACAAATCTTAATGAAAGTACTATATCATAATATCATTCATTGAGTTAATTTGTTCTATTTAAAATGCAACATTTCGACAAAATTAAACAAAATATATTTTCAAAGGATCTATATATATATACATATATATTTCACTTACGGATTTTGAAATGCAACAGGTGCACGAAAGGTATAGGTTACGATTTGAAACTCGAAATACTTCTGGAGGGAATCTTCGGATAACATGTTCTTTTATACATCGAGTTTGACTGATTAGCAGATTTTCAACCAATTGAAAGCTGCGCTGATTTAAACTGGACCAATTCCGAAGCATTGCTAAACGTTTCCTAATTCATTATATATAAACATTACATGCGTAATTTGATTGTAGATTTTTTTTTAGTATTCAAGAGTATTTGAGAATTTGTTATCAATTTAATATTGAAGAATTATTATTCCTGTTCTCAAGGAAACGTAAAATCAAATGTAATGTAATTTGATGTAAACATAAATTTGAACTGTTTTTTTACTTCTCTAAAGAATGCACAAGAAAAATAAAAGTATAAGAGTTAAAAAATAAGTCCTTTCTCTGTTACTTTGAAATAGGTACAATAATTCAAGTAATTATTATTAATAACTGATATTAATAATAGATATAACTGTACTTTGATATTGTGTATCGTATTCTATAAATGATGTCACTTGTTATTCACTATAATTCTTCTATTTATAACAAACAATACGAACAGATGTTACGTATCTCCATTAACAGCACTGATTTGAAAGTAGTTCATGAGAGATGTACTTTCTTTCGTTATGTACAAAGTTTGTATGTTCGTATCGCGTTTCATACCGGTCAATCCAGTCCAGTTTTATCAAGACCTTTTGAACGTTTTTTTCTTATCGTTTTACACAAAACGAAATTTCGAATATTTCCGATACGCTCTGTTCTTCTTCAATGTTACTCGAGTAACGAAATACAGAACAGATATCACAAACATACAATAAAAATGAACGCTTTAAAATAATTAAACAATATTATTTAATAAGAATTATATTACAGAACATAATATATTTGCGTTACGCTGAAAAATTATTTCATTCATTGATAAAAGTGTTTATTTTCTTGCACTTGCATTTATCATGTTTTGCATGAAAAAAACATATTTTGATATCGTATATATATACATATATATGTTTTCCAGTAAATTGCAGTAAGAAACGCAGTAAATGTCAGTGAAATAATAACATAACATCTGATATTGTATGTATCTATTTAAGAATTAAAAAATACACTTTTGCTTGATTAGTTAGAGCAAACGGGAATTGGAGAGTTAGAGGATGCTAGGAAAAGAAAATAGGTTGTGCAAGGTTTGTGGTTAAGAGGAAAACTGGAAACACGTATCAGAGATGCATAGACAGAGGAATGCGCAGAGGCTGATAAGGATGGAAGAATGAGAGTGGAGTAATCTTAAGTAACAATTAAGAAATAAGATCAAAAAGAAAGACATAAGTCAGTACTGTCGATGAAGCAAGCAAGAATAACCGGTGGGGGCAACATAGCTCTAAGTGCTGTTGCCGATTACGTTATCGATACATATCGATAACATAAAAATACTATCGATAATTCAGTATATCGATAATATCAAAATATTATTGACAATTAAATGTATCAAAAATATCATTCAAAATGAAAAAACAAACATTTTATGTTCACTTATAGTACGCAAATAATTATTACAAAAAGCAAGATTAAAACAATATTAGAAAAGTAATTTTTATATTTTAATAACGATAACAATAAGAATAACACTATAATAATATATCAATTATCATATCCATTACATTGTATCAATTGTTTGAATTTAGAAGATATTAAAACTTTCTCAATGTTAATGATTATGACTTTCAAATATTTATCTATATGAGCATCCTCTATTCTGACAAATTGTTTTCTAAAACAGGCCAAAATCTTTCTAGCAGATACACAAGGTTACTGCCGAAGGTTACTGTTATTTTCGATAGTAAATTTCAACAGGAATATATAAACTTGGTCGATACAGTTATTAAGCGTTATATTTTTATTTATTCTTATTTTGCTTAACAATATATTATAATTAGCAATATTATCAATAAAAACTATTGTACTGAACAGCTTCTTGAAACCTGTTATTCATTATAGGTTTGAATTGTTCATATAGTTTTTGATTTAGATACGCAGTTTAGCAATACGTACTTACGAAACATAACAGTATATGATAAGATCCAGGAAAAACACAAGGAAGTAGTTTGTCAAACAAATTTTGTTCGGTTGGCGGTAACAACTTTATTATAAAACGAGATCTTTAACATAATTATTGTTTAATGCTTTATTCAGAAAGTAGCATAGTATTCGTTAAAATAATCTCGAGACCTTAATTAAATCGTGTAGTTGAAAGTACATGGCTGATCGTTATCAAACAAAACAAAACATTGAGTCACAAATCATTTGTATAGTTTATAATCCATATGAAATAGTGCAACTTGAAAAAATATTGTTGACTCTTTACAAACACATATTGTTGTATTATAATTATTTATATCACTTCACACGACATTATCGATATTGCAGAAAATATATTTAGAAGTAGATACTCTCCTTAAGAACGTATTTAATTTTCACTTAATTGAATATACTTTTTAGCGTTGTTAATTAATTATACTATAAAAACCTGCTACGCTGATAGCTGTGATGGAGTTAAAAATATCATGAAACGTGGTTGTAATTTGCGATTAAAAATGCAAAAGAGAATGGATTGACAGTAGATAAGTACATTAAAAGCCATCGATCAGAATAGTAAACAATTTCTACTTAATTTATTTAAAAAATTATGTAATAGTACTGTTACTAGATTTATAGTTCTCCGTACGACAGACGATATTTTCAACATAATCATTATTACCATGAATACTGTTTAAGAAAGTCATTTTAAACATCGTGTAATTGCAGTAACACGGCAGTTGATACGTATAATAATATAATAGGTCACTTAATAAAAGATATTTTAATAATTGCAGAATAAAATGCATTATGTAACGTAACAGATATCTGATAAAACGTACCACTAAAAAAAACAACATTCTTACACAATATAATTGATTAAATTCGAAGAAAATATCTACAGTTTTTTTTAAGTTTTCCATCAGTTTTATCCAATACATGCTTCGTGAATAACTAAAACAGATTTTTTGATAACAACGAATTTGCACAAAATAAATAACAAGTAACTTCGATGATGATAGGAAAATATTAAATGTTGTGCATAACAACATATTTACAATTTTAGTATTATTTAAGAAGAGTTTTCATGTAATATTTATGTACAAAACTTTCACCTAGAAATGAGGTCATGTGTAACACAATCTTATTTAAATGTTGCTATTATAAATGTAGGTAGCTTTTATAATACTTTAGTATGATTAATTAGTACAGTTTATAAAATATGACTGTTATAATGTACTTCTTTTCTAATACTATACAAGAATAATATTAGAATGTTGGCGTTAATAAAATTAAGACTTGTAAAATCGAATTGCTTGTGTTAGCAATTTCTTTTTATTATTAATTATTTTATTTATCCACACCTGCATTATACCTTTTTTGCCTAGAAAGTAACTATTAGAAAGTTATAAGTAAAATTTATAATCGCAATTAATTAGCCGCTACAAAAATATTGAAGCATGTTTTAAATGCTTAAAAACAAATCATAGAGTGTTGTTGTTCCTCTGCAGGTCATATATGATATATTCTTATAGTTTCATTTTTTATTGCAGAATAATAACTTAAACAATTCTCTTTCTATAAACTGTTTATGATTACATGGAAAAAATACACAGTTGCTATTAATATCATTATAAGTATCCGTACTAGATTCAACTAAAAAATCATTGTCATTATTGATATTTATGGAGAATGTAACAATGACAATGATATATATAATGAATACATATATGTATATATTAACAACAAAATATATTTTATGTTTTCAGAATGTCAAAATTAACATGCATGTTTTAATTTCCTTCCAGTAAAGCAGTCGCGTTTAGGTATGACTTAACAAAAGACATTCTGTCTATTGTAATGTCGCTTCAAATCTACGTCTTACTAAGAATGCGGTCACACATTCACAATGATTTCAATATTATTAGAAAATTTTAATGTTCCGTGTTTAAAAAACACTTTGCATTTTGCGTCACTTGAAACCCTCGGGTTTCTACATTTTTCATTCCCCTCCCCATATAATATTAACACACAAAAATTGGTATCCTGTTTAGAATTATATTTTACACAATGGTAGTGCCAACGATGTTGCAGAAGATACCGAAATTAAATTTGAAAACTGACGTAACTAGCAATAAGATGTGTGTTCAACGTGTAAAACACATACATAATTAAAATCACGGTTTTAAGTAATCAAGCTACCTGTACAAGCACGTTTCGATTTTTACAGAGCATTGCAACATTTCTTCGCAACTCCGCTACCCAACTTACGTCGTTACCACTGTACGCCGCATTGGTTTTTCATGCATTATTATCTTACAGTTGAACTCGCCAATTTTGAAATGTGCTCAAGAAGCGCTCAACGCAGTGAAGTTTGATAATTCTTCTTCACTGTAAAAACTATACTTAATATTGTTTAACTTTAAAGTTACTGTTTGAATTCGTTTACAGTAATTTATTATCCTAAAAAACTAATAGTTAAATAAACTGAAATTCATTTATAGTTTATGTTTCATGTTAAAAGTCAGAACACTCATTTTTTTAACAATGGTAACAAACTAATATTTCAGATGGAAATTTTATTCGTTAAATAAATTGAATAAATTGCTCCACCTTCTTTCAATATTTAATAGCATTCGTAAGTATTTCAGAACTACGAAAGTTAAATGTGTTTTATCGAAAGACTTTCATCACAGTTAAGGCAGAAAAACACTGATTGAAAAATAACTCGTACGCAATAAAGGAATTTTCGTATAATGTTGTGTGGTTAGTACTAGACAGAAAAATATTTGGAAGCAGATTTGTAATATATCATGAATTATAGACAAAACCGTAAAATATTATATAACTAATAAAGCAATATATCTGACAAAAATGAGCATGAAATGAGTTTTCCATTTAAATAATTGTTTAGCTTTTCGCATATTCAATACAATTACTTGTATTTAATGTGCAATGTGTTGAACATTTGCTATACACGACGCGTTTAGTTTATTTCTTAAATTAAAATTCTGCCTCATTAATGTGTTAGTCTACTGTTATATATTTGCAAAGTTTACTAGAATCTCGGTAAAGTATATTAGGAAAAGACGCATAAAACACACACAGACAAAAGAATATATTCAAACGCAAAAGGCTCCAGGGTGTTTGGAAAGCAACTCAAGAATTTAGTTGTAAAACGTTTAAATTTGATATTCCATATATAAATTCTTTATATAATGTTAAACGATTGTTTAGTTACATTTTGTTTTAATGGATCGATACTTACATTTTCATGTATGAACAAATAACACTATAAACAAAACATTAATGTTTATTTTCTCGTAAACATACTTTAAAGTGCAGAATATAAGATTATAGGACGAGTATCAAACTGCGTTTCAAACATCCTGAATATAATATGAAGGAGGAGTGTATAGACAATTCTTTTCTGATAATGAGCTTTAAATATTACATCACGTAGAACAGTACACAATGTGTCTCTTTGGATCTTATTAAATCAATACAAAGATTTTACGTGGCAGGATCAAATAATGAAAATTTAAAAAAAATTGAGCCCTTCTATGAAAGTAATATGATGCTTCATTCATAAATACCTCTTTCATTCCTGACATGAGGATTCTTCATTCTGCGGTTGTAATCCATATTCGCTTTCATAATGAAATATCAGTTTAAAGAAATTCTTGTTCTTGACTGAATCGAATGCATTGAAAACACTGCCTTCAAAAATACTTATAAACGACTGCCATCAAGCGACAAATATATTTACAAATACAAAAATCGATTTCACAGATAGAAGCGTCTAATCCATTGTTGGTGCATAGTGGAATCGATGTTGTGCCATCGATCCAGCCACTACGTAAAATCCCTGTCGATTCGAAAGGGAGAACTTACATGATTCATAAAGCGTCATTGTATGGTCATAACACTCTCTTAATCCATCGTATACAAAGCGTAGATTTACCTTTCGTTAACATGTTCATAATATTAAAACCACGCTCTATCTGCCTGAAGAATCGAATACGCAAACGCATTTCCAACCATTCTGTGTCAGACGACGCTTTCTTATTATAGAATCGTATAAATTATATGAGTGGCTGCCTAATTCCTCTTCACAGGATGAAAATTTAATTGTAAATTTTAATAGCCTTTTCGAGGTAGTTGATTCGAGAACGCTTTGGCGCTTTGTTGACGTGTTCCAAGCCAAGCCAAGGCCTGTTTGGCGATGTGCCTGCGTTTAAAAGTGGATAAACTACAAAATTTATTCCTTATCAGCATCAATTAAAAATTTATATAACAAAGAGATTGGTTATTTTACTTAAGTTCGTTTGATTCCGTTATCAACTATTACAAATTGCTTCCTTGTTATGTATACTTACTCTGACTTGGATGTGTACGGAAGTCTGCGAGATTCACAATGTATTCTGGCGAATCCATAATAAAGTGTGGCTTTCCCATTGTCACCACCGCGAACTTAAACTTCAAAGTTTTTTTATGAATTCTCATAAAATATCAAATAAAATTAGATTAAGATGCCTACCTTTTCAAATTCCTTTTCTTGTACTCCCAATTTCTTCAGTAATCTCTCTTTCATCTTTGGGAAAGATTCACCCTGCAACAAGTATACATGACATATATAAGTAAACAGATAGATAGATAGATCGAAACTAAATTGTTTACTAAAAAAAGAAGAAATAATAACTGTATAGTGTATATCTATTCAATTGTGATTACCTGTTTAATTTTAAAGAAAAAGGGAATACCAAACGTCGAAAATACATCCTTATGAAAGTGTGCAACAGGAATTAACATTTCATCTTCTGCTAAATTTAATTCATCGTTTGGAATTTCTTCTATCCTGTATAATTTTGTGCCAGTTGTATTTAAGTTATCTAAGGGTACATCTTCTCTTGGGCCAGGCGACAATTTACTAGAAGTGATTTCTAGTATCCTTAATTTTCCAGATCCGTTTTCCGACAATTCTACTTGTTTCTTCGCTTCTTCAAGCAAAGTAGCCACAGTTCCGTTTTTGTTAGGGTAAAGAATGATTTCTTTTTCTTCCTTAAGGGATGGACCAACCCATATACATTTAAATTGTTTTTTGTTTTCAAGCTCATTTACTCTAATACTGAGCTGCTGATAATATAATTTCTTTGTTTTTGGTTTGCAATAAGAAACCAAATCCTTCAGCGAACCTTCATATGTACATTTTAGTGGATGTCCAGGTGAGTCTTTATAGCTACAAGTATATAAATGTGTGAGTGATAATATAGATTTAATAATACCTTTATAAGATATTGTTTACAGTTTTTAAAATATCTGTTATAAACTTATTATATTTGCTCCACAAACATAATGTAATATTTTTTAGTAATTTTGAGAGAAAAAATAAATACCTTGAAAAAAATGTTCACTTTTAGAAATATTCTCTATATAAGGACTCGTTAAATTCTCATAGCTCGTAACATAAATAAGTACAAACTAAATTAGAAAACATACTTAATGCTGATATTTAGAAAATTATAAAATTTCAGTTTTCAAATAATAAACTCCTAAACTCATAATACTAGATCCAGTTAAATAAAATGCAGCTAGGCTATTAAATTAGATACAATTTAAGAAATAATAGAAACGTAATGCGAGTATTTAACCAGTCTGTTCAAGGAACATTAACAATAAAATATCGTTATTGTTAAAAAATTAGAAGTTCTTACTTTTGACATTTAAAAAATTGTAGGAGGTACGGATCAGTGCCAACTCTTTGTGCTACAGCTCTTGCCATTTGATCATATGTCATTCTCAAAGAGAGTTCCATTGTAAAACCTGGATCATTAGGAATCGTTTTGTCACAAAATGTTACTTCCACTCTGTAAAATAGGTCCCTGAAACACGTTAAAAGTTTTTACATATCTGCTTGTAATAAGATAATTTAGCATAAATATTTGTACAACTTACTTAAAATATTCTTTACACGTTGGAAGTTCATACATCTGATTGTCTCCTTCCTTTTGAAAGACAATAATGTCACCGTCCATTAATTCATCAAGGCCTTTTTCTAATGGATCTGTTAAATTATCTATTTTTTCAACCAAATTTGGTTTAATTTCTTCAAAAAGTGCTAATTCTGTATCTGGTGGAAATCCAGCTCTTTCATTCAAAATAGGTATAAGTTCCTCTGTATAAAACACATTATGTAAACTATTTTGCATTATTATACAAATAAGAAAATTCATATTACTGGTTGTGATGTTTGTATCAAGTTAAAGTAACGTTCTTAAAAAATTTATAAATAATACTAAAGAAATGAGTGACTAAAAAAAATGTGATATTTTTAATATTTTTAAAAAATTATAAACATAAGATATAAAAATTAAATTATAAGAAATATGTAACAAGATTTATCAAATTTATCAGTTATTTGGAATGAAACTTACGGACTTTAGTTGTGACAGGCATATAATGATGACCACAATAATGTATCTTCTTGTTTTTGGGATCATATAATTTAAAAAATAATAGAACATCAGTGTCTTTATCAAAAGGTGGCAGTGCCGTTAAATCTGAATCTGGAGGAACAAGTTCAACAAATACATTCCATACATTTGGATTTTCTGAGCACTGGTAAATAGATTTTTGTGTATCAGGTTCTAACTCGAGTGACATTGGTCTACAAGTATGATTCGAACGCACATTCAGTGGCCATAGACGAATTTGCTCTGTTGGATATTTCTGCAGAAAAATCCCACTGTATTAGTTTACATGAATTATACTGAATATATGAAATTATAAGAAATATACGAGAACTGAGTATATTTGTTCCACACAATATTCATTGAAATGTAATATTTAAATTGTTCTTAAATATCGTGTTTCCAATCACCTACCGTACTTGTAGATGATCACAAGAATATAATATACAACCAAGCTAATGGCACATATTAAGAAGTCACACTGATACCTCGATATTAATTAATTCAAAATATAGAAACGTATTGGTGACAATATTGAAAATTGAATATCAGGTAAGTAATAGCATGAAAAATTGTTTAATAATTACACTTACCAAGCTATCACTCAGCAATTCGAGAAACTCGTGCAAGGTACACTGCTTACGTACGCGAAATATACGATACCAAGCATGCTCTGGATCATACAAGTCATTTCCTTGGTGACCGTCAAAGTTATCCTCGAGAAGGACGTTGACGGTTATATACAAGTATGCTTCTGTTCTCTCCTTTCTTCTTATTTGTTCCAGCCTCTTCTCCTCTTGCAACCTCTCCACCAGCTAGACCAACAAAATTAAAATTATCCATATATATACTAAATTCGTCTCATTTGTAATTTTTCCTCATCTGTCTTCTAAAATTTCAATTTTTAGAAAAGCAGTGTACTAGTATCATGCTTTTGCGATTCGAGGACAGATTGTAGTCGAAACACCAAAAGAATGAATTTAATTTCTCATTTTATGTAATTTTAATTTTGTTCATCTGCCGCAATACAGACTACTAAGTCAAACAATTACACAATGAAAATTATTCAGCTATAAATGATGGTTCTAAGTATACTGAAGGTAATGTAAATACATTTAATCTATCTTTAACGAATTATTAGATAACTGTATAA